ACAACTTCCATATGCCACCACTGACAGTTGACCACTCCCACATGGCAACACTGACAGTTGACCACACCCACATGCCACCACTGACAGTTGACCACTCCCACATGCCACCACTGACAGTTGACCACTCCCATGTGGCACCACTGACAGTTGACCACCCCCACATGGCACCACTGACAGTTGACCACTCCCATATGCCATCACTGACAGTTGACCACTTCCATATGCCATCACTGACAGTTAACCACTCCCATATGCCATCACTGACAGTTGACCACTTCCATATGGCAACACTGACAGTTGACCACTCCCATGTGGCAACACTGACAGTTGACCACACCCACATGCCACCACTGACAGTTGACCACTCCCATATGGCAACACTGACAGTTGACCACACCCACATGCCACCACTGACAGTTAACCACTCCCATATGCCATCACTGACAGTTGACCACTCCCATATGGCAACACTGACAGTTGACCACACCCACATGCCACCACTGACAGTTAACCACTCCCATATGCCACCACTGACAGTTGACCACTCCCATATGGCAACACTGACAGTTGACCACACCCACATGCCACCACTGACAGTTAACCACTCCCATGTGGCAAAACGTACATTTATATTTTCAACAGCCTCATCCAAGTCATCAATACACACAGAAAGTAGTCCTTCTCTATACATACAAACCACCATGTCATTGATCCACACACGACAGTTTACAGTTTGTACTTATCTTAATCTGAGTAGCTGATACGGATGTTTCTGATGTGCGAGGCGCCCAACTCATCTGTTTCAAGTGTGACATGACAGCTAACCTTTACACTCCGGCACATTGTGCTCGTGATATTTCATTTTTACACTCAGTTGACTTAAATGTTAAAAGTAATATCTGAATGAATTAAACAGGGTATCCCATGACCTATTTCAACCCTAGGTGGAGCTAGGTGGAGGTGCTGTGTCACTATTAAATGTCAGGGCATATGCCAACTTGCACACAACAGATAATGTCTTTCATCAGTTTCTGGTACATGGTGAATGACGGTCAGGTCTAGCTGAGTGAGTGAGGGAATATTGACAATATGTCAGCCATTCCCCGTCTATCTACTTCTGAGGATGATATAGTGGCCGTGATCATTGTGTGGCTGTCTTCTTGGCCTTCGACATTAACAGGGACAGATTCGCTCGGGGGCATTCACTCTATGCATTCTCACAAGGACATTCATATTTAAAATTCACAAAAGACATATACACAGCATCATTGTAGCTAGACATTCACATAGAGACATTTTTGCTGGATTTTGTAACACATTCACCCCTTGACATATTTACTAAAGATATTCATGCAGTGACATTCATATTGTTCCTTTTATGCCAGACATTCATACACTGACATCATATGGTTCTGTTGATGACATCCATCTTATAATTCACACAAGACATTCACACACCGACATATAGCTCCGTTTATGACATTCACCTTATAATACACATTCATACAAGATGTTCACACAGTGACACATAGCTCTGTTTATACAATCACCTTATAATACACATTCATACAAGATGTTCACACAGTGACACATAGCTCTGTTTATACAATCACCTTATAATACACATTCATACAAGACGTTCACACAGTGACATATAGCTCCGTTTATACAATCACCTTATAATACACATTCATACAAGACGTTCACACAGTGACATATAGCTCCGTTTATACAATCACCTTTTAATACACATTCATACAAGATGTTCACACACCGACATATAGCTCCGTTTATGACATTCACCTTATAATACACATTCATACAAGATGTTCACACAGTGACATATAGTTCCGTTTATACAATCACCTTATAATACACATTCATACAAGACGTTCACACAGTGACATCATGTAGCTCTGTTTATACAATCACCTTTTAATACACATTCATACAAGACGTTCACACAGTGACGTCATATATCTCTGTTTATACAATCACCTTTTAATACACATTCATACAAGACGTTCACACAGTGACGTCATACAGCTCCGTTTATACAATCACCTTATAATACACATTCATACAAGACATTCACACAGTGACGTCATATAGCTCCGTTTATACAATCACCTTTTAATACACATTCATACAAGACGTTCACACAGTGACGTCATATATCTCTGTTTATACAATCACCTTTTAATACACATTCATACAAGACATTCACACAGTGACAGATAGCTCCGTTTATACAATCACCTTATAATACACATTCATACAAGACGTTCACACAGTGACGTCATACAGCTCCGTTTATACAATCACCTTATAATACACATTCACACAAGACGTTCACACAGTGACATATAGTTCCGTTTATACAATCACCTTATAATACACATTCATACAAGACGTTCACACAATGACAGATAGCTCTGTTTATGCAATCACCTTATAATACACATTCATACAAGACATTCACACAGTGACACATAGCTCCGTTTATACAATCACCTTATAATACACATTCATACAAGACGTTCACACAGTGACACATAGCTCCGTTTATACAATAACCTTATAATACACATTCATACAAGACATTCACACAGTGACGTCATATAGTTCCGTTTATACAATCACCTTATAATAAACATTCACACAAGACGTTCACACAGTGACGTCATATAGCTCTGTTTATGATATTTGCCTTTTAATACACATTCATACAAGACATTCACACAGTGACAATACACATTCATACAAGACATTCATCATGGCGGCACACCAGTCTCTGAACCCAGCAATTATGTAATTGTTCCTCAGCCGGCAGTGATGGCAGGTGGAGAACAATTCCTGATTGTTCTACATGGTGATATACGTATCTGCTGTAGAAAGGCCGCCGGCTATTTATGAGTGACAGGAAAACCCTCATTGGTAACCAGAAATGGTGGAGATTCCATAGACTGCGTATAGCCATATTTCCTGCCACCAGAGGAAATTATACTGCCACAGGACCGGATGTCCTTGTGTCACACATGTTATATGGTATATATAGCACTACGACCGCGTCACACACAAACAGTGGGAATATACGACAGTCGGGACATCGAACACGGGTAATCATTCAATTTCTTATCAATCTTGATTCGTTTCAATGATGCCTTGTACGAATTCAACAAACATGTATACCTTGTATATAATGGAACCAGTACATTTTGAGTGTGAAATTGGACTGATTCATGAACTGGAAGAACTGCCCATCCATGATGAAGATGATAAAGTTAGCGAGTATTATCTACGTCTTGTTAGTCTGTCAGAAGACTCAAATACCAACTTCGGTTTGTTTGTTTCGGAGCTTTTTGTCTCATGAAAGAGATCACCAACTCGAAAGAAGACATTTTTTTTTAATCTAATTACATGCTATTTCAATTAAATTTCATGATTTTGGTTCATTCTTTGATAAAAAAACCAAATTATCAATCATTGGTTTATTTTTTAATTTGAATACTTAATTAAAACAGTCCAATTTTTTGTTAAATGGTGTATGATGATATGTATGATATCGTCTGTTTATGATATTTGATAATTATTATATGCGATGGAAGCCAGTCTGGCGTGCAAATGAGCGGAGTGTTCTTGTAACATTGTTATACATGATAGTTAAGTGATTATCCCAGTAGGGAGGGCTTGAAACTGAGCCGCAATCTAAATATGTGAGTGTGACTTTATTGATTGTTGGAGTTAGAAGTGAACCAGGAGGGCTACGACAGGGTTAGCCTGCCGGTACTGAAGCTGGCATATGTTGAGTCATCTGCCCAGTGCAACTAATTGCTTTAATTAGGTCAAACTACTACAATTTGGAATTAACGAGCCTGACTGGTTCCGCTGTTTGCACCACTGGAATGGTAATGATTGTATTATCTAAATGTTGCCCGGATAAGAGACAACCACCATTTTGAGCATCTATCATGTTGACCGAGCTCGGGACTGAAAAGTGAGTTTTGGGTGTTTTATGTCATTGTGGAATTATTTCTTGTGTGTTGATGAAGTGTGTTGTTCACCAGCGGGTTTGTGTCTTGCTTGGGGGACACCAGTTGTGGGAGAAGGTCTTGTAGAAGCAGGGCACTTGTTGTATAATGACCACTTGGCGCCGTTGCATGGCGTAAAACACATGGCTTCATCTCCAGCACTCGAGAAGCAGGCTGGTGTGATTGGACGCAGCCTTGCAGTGAAGTGTTTGTGTATTATGTGTTTGTGGAGCTTGTTTAGAAGCCCTCAAGCACTTGCCAACATGTGTTGAAGATACAATAGTGGAGTGAGTGAGTTGGGTTTAACGCCACTTTCAACAGCATTTTGGTAATATCACAACATCGATTAATGTATCTCCTAAATTGATTAAGGTGTTAGATGTTTACTACGTGAAATCCATGGGTACAGGTATGGGTTCTGACAAAACTAGAATCATAATCGGGGCTGTTCTCAGATTCAAACCATGATCATCGGATTCTGGCAAGCTAAGGTATGCAACTCTGCAGAGCAATTTGTGGGACCTTAGTAGGACCTGACAGTGGAAGGCCTTATAGGGGCTCAAGGTCACTTGTCGGGTTGCTGTTGTATTTTGGAAGACGATGAAGGAACAAAGTATTCTCTGATATTAAACCAACTACAATTTTAAGGAACTCAAAGGGACCATTACAGCATATCTATACCAAATGGCCAGGACTAACAAATAAGTTTGTTATATCGGTCATTTGTATTAGGTGTGTTCATTATAACTTATAGTTTATTATAGTTTACTGTAAATTACTTTTGGAAAAAATCTGGGGGTTTTTCCACATACTGTTGGTGATATTGTTCACCAAAACATCCTGTTTCGTTTTTGGTTCTATTTTAGCCAGTGAGGTGACTAGTGTTCTGAATCACTCGTGTGACCTAATGTTTGTTGCTTAGAGTCCTCATGTCTTTTTCAAGTCTAACTAACTTATCTTTTATTTCAGTTCCTAAAAAAATATTTAAGGCAGCTCACCGGAAAGAAAGGAGGCGGCACCACAAGAAGAAGGACAGGAAGAATTCCCTGCGAAGCAGCAGCACCGAGGCCGGCGTCTTCACCAAGTACAGTGAGACATCCACGCCCACGTACAAGACATCCAGGAAGGCAGTCACAGTCAGGCCTGAGCAGGCTTCAGCAGGTACGTCCCAGTGGCATGTCAAGGTAGACATGGGTAGACTCGGGTAGAGCATCTGCAGCTTGTCTGTTACCAAGGATAACCAAACACCTTTTCTGTTACCAAGGATAACCCACCACCTTGTCTGTTACCAAGGATAACCCATTTGTCTTTTACCCAAGATAACCCACTTGTCTGTTACCCAGGATAACCCACCACCTTGTCTGTTACACAGGATAACCCACCACCTTGTCTGTTACCCAGGATAACCCACCACCTTGTCTGTTACCCAGGATAACCCACTTGTCTGTTACCAAGGATAACCCACCACCTTGTCTGTTACCCAGGAAAACCCACTTGTCCTTTACCCAGGATGACCCACTTGTCTGTTACCCAGGATGACCCACTTGTCTGTTACCCAGGATAACCCACCTCCTTGTCTGTTACCCAGGAAAACCCACCACCTTGTCTGTAACCCAGGATTACCCACTTGTCTGTTACCCAGGGTAACCCACCACCTTGTCTGTTACCCAAGTAAACCCACTTCCTTGTCTGTTACCCAGGATAACCCACTACCTTGCCTGTTACCAAGGAAAACCCACCACCTTGTCTGTAACCCAGGATAACCCACTTGTCTGTTACCCAGGATAACCCACCACCTTGTCTGTTACCCAGGATAAGCCACTTGTCTGTTACCCAGGATAACCCACCACCTTGTTTGTTACCCAGGATAACCCACCACCATGTTTGTAACCCAGGATAATCCACCACCTTGTCTGTTACCCAGGATAAGCCACTTGTCTGTTACCAAGGATAACCCACCACATTGTCTGTTACCCAGGATAACCCACCACCTTGTTTGTTACCCAGGATAACCCACCACCATGTTTGTTACCCAGGATAATCCACCACCTTGTCTGTTACCCAGGATAAGCCACTTGTCTGTTACCAAGGATAACCCACCACATTGTCTGTTACCCAGGATAACCCACCACCTTGTTTGTTACCCAGGATAACCCACCACCTTGTCTGTTACCCAGGATAACCCACTTGTCTGTTACCAAGGATAACCCTCACCTTGTTTGTTACCCAGGATAACCAACTTGTCTGTTACCCAGGATAACCCACCACCTTGTCTGTTACCCAGGATAACCCACCACCATGTCTGTTACCCAGGATAACCCACTTGTCTGTTACCCAGGATAACCCACCACCTTTTCTGTTACCCAGGATAACCCACTTGTCTGTTACCCAGGATAACCCACCACCTTGTCTGTTACCCAGGATAACCCACTTGTCTGTTACCAAGGATAACCCTCACCTTGTTTGTTATCCAGATGCTGCAGGGTCTGACAAAAAGTCAGGTGAAGGAAACCCCAGCACTGTCAACACTGACAAAAAGCCCGGTGAAGGAAACCCCAGCACTGTCAACACTGACAAGGAGACGCCCATCAAAGACAAGACTAAGCCAACTGAGACCAGTAGCAGCACCTCCAACCCCTGCGACAACTACACCACCGTCCCTGCTGGTCAACAGAGAGACAGGTCCATGGGGATTCTCATGAACTGGCTTAATGCTGTCAACTTTTTGAACAGTAGGTCATTTTATACACAAGTATACACAATCTGTACCTTCCTTAAAATAATTATACATGAACAGTTATACTCATACTGTCAGAATATTGCTTTGATCTCAAGAAGTCTGTAATTGCATGACACTGACAAAATACCCAATTCTGTCCATGTTAGTTGCTGATTAATGATTCTTGATGTGAATAGCAAATTTAGGATGTAATACAAATTCAGTAGGTTCAACATTGACCTGTACATTGATGTGATTTCAGAGAATGCTGAGAAGGTTATCCTGTATCTAGTCCTAGGAGTCTGTGTCGGGATCATCATTCTCCTTACCGTGATTCTCATCAAAATTGGACGTGATTATAAACGCAATGTGCGCGCCAAACTGGACGTTACAGAGCCCACCCATAGTCATAATGTCACCTCCAATCATCATCCTTTGGAGGCTTCGTCAATAGAACGGGCGGAATCTATAGACCGTATCGAAGTTGTACGATTTAGCCCTCGTGGCACGTTACGAAATGACACAGGAACAAGGAGTTTAAGTAACTATTATGGCTGAAATGTTCCAACATTCTAGTGCAAATGTGTGCCATGGCTGGTAACCAAAGGATTTGTGATAGTTGAGAGTTACCTCCCTTGAAACAAGGTTATCTCCCCTTGTTATGTGGTTGTGATGTGCAAGTGCAATTGTTATGGAGATATTTGTGAGAAGAAAAAGAAGATATTTTTGTGCATTTTCACAAAAATTCTTTTAGATGCAACTTACAAGTTGTGCATTATCCCCCAGCGACAGTTTTCGGGCAATAATAGTGCTGTTGAAATGTGTACATAATGAGGTCATTGTGTTGAACCCACATGTGGGTGTGAAGAACATGTGAGGGAAAACAGATGAGGATGCACCAAGATATTCATGTCTGCCAGGAGCCGTCTGTGTTAACGGGGATCGTTATGGAACTTACACATTACAATAAAAGCCCTTACAAATCATGGGCTGAAATATGAGTTATTGAACAAATTGATCTTTTTCAAGAATTCTTAAGCTGTCAGTCACTCGAAACTGAAAACTTGAAACAGGCACAGGATGTATGCTCTCATGAACCGGATGATGAAGCCAAGTGTATGAGAGTTGAAAAGGGGCAGAAGCGATTCTCACAGTTCCGTCAACTCTTATGTCAGCATTCATGCCTTAATGTTCATAAACATTATTGGCGAACCAACCCGCAACGTAAAGTGACTTTTTTAAGCCCATGTTCCTTTTTACTCATTAACAAAGCTAAGGCCAACAAGATTTTCAGCCAACAGGCAGAGGCGACATTAAAAATTGACCACTTGATATTCTATTGTGGAGGAGAGGGGGGGGGGGTAGGGGTGGCTGGGAATCTTATTGGAGAAACATTATTTTTTTCAGTTAGACAGTACTTCTTCAAGACATAAATTTTCTTTACTCTCAAAGGAGGAGTCATATATATTTTTAATTGTCTGTCCGAACATCCAATATGTTCAATAAAACAATATTGATAATGATAAACATTTTTGTAAAACGTGACGGTAAATTTTTTCCAGCAATTTTGGGACAGATTTACCCCCCCCACCAACTCCAATATCAAATGGTCAGCTGCTCTGATTAAATAAATTTCTTAGGGCATGATTGTTGTGTATGAGAGGACTTCTATAGCTGGTCCACCTGCAGCTGGTGACGTCTGCTTGGTCCACCTGCAGCTGGTGACGTCTGCTTGGTCCACCTGCAGCTGGTGACGTCTGCTTGGTCCACCTGCAGCTGGTGACGTCTGCCTTGTCCACCTGCAGCTGGTGACGTCTGCCTTGTCCACCTGCAGCTGGTGACGTCTGCTTGGTCCACCTGCAGCTGGTGACGTCTGCTTGGTCCACCTGCAGCTGGTGACGTCTGCTCTGCTCAATGGTCTGTTGTGCTACTGTCATTCATCATGTTAGTGTGGACTGACGACTTCCCCTTGTGATAACTGTTTTGTAAACATTTTGATAACATTTATAAATTTTAATATATGATATATTCCAACATTGATCTGAACATTTCCTGTAACAATAGGGCATACTCTGATGCTCAACCTCAGCAACCATTTGTATTCCAGTGTCACAGACAGTTACCGTATTCGACGTAATAAGCGCCCTGGGAGCTCTCAAAATAAGAAATAGGGGGCTCTTATTAGAATATTATTTTGAGTTGAAAGATCGTAAATTTCGTGGTTTATGCTGACAGCCTGAAATGTTTATACACGACAGAAATATTTTCCAGGATTTAATTGCCCATAATTACGTGTGCATATAACATACGAGTGCGTATTATACACGAATAAATAAGTCTTGTGTACAGTTGGAAGGGGTGCTAATTGAGATTGTTCACTAGCCAGTATATTAGCAAATATCACCGTGGGCGCTTATTAGAGAAGGGCGCTTATTACGTCGAATACAGTATTTAAGCAGCAATATATTTCGGACAAACTCCAACCATGAAACTATGTTTCGCCATTTTATAAAATATGCAACTTTGCTTCGACACAGGTTCACGATATTGGTAGTTAAACAGGTATTTCATGGAAAGGTCAATAAAATCACATCAAAATGTGAGGGAAAGTTGAGAAACTTTGGCGGTATTGAATAATTGTGGTGTTATTATCAAGACTTGAACATATTTGTATTTACAATGAGAATTACTTGACTGGCTGCAAGGACATTGTGTCAGCAGTCCGCCTCATCTCTTATTGGCCATTCGTTGGTCACATGTATTACACCTGTGTGTAGCTTTACCTCAACTTGACAAAAGCATGTGCTGGTCACATCAGAGTTCTCTCCCTTAGACTGTTAATATTAGTCTCTATATATCTGCATATTGAATATTCACTTCAAAGATCTGTAGTATTGCATAATATATTTACAAATTAAATATCTGCACTGTCTATTCACAATGTCTATTTCTTTATATTTTTTTCAATTTCGTTCTCATTGTCTGGAGGTTGATTTGTCTGTACCCAAGGTTGAATGTCAACCATATTTTCTGAGTACATTTTGATATGGAAGTGTTTCAGCATTCCGATGTTGTGTGTGTGCACTCATTGTCTTCAGTGATTATCATGTTTGTGAAACTCTACATCCATCTTCATCAGTTTCAATGCGACTCTTGAGCCTTCGAACCATGTTTCATAGTTCATGATTCTCAAATTATGATGGTTAGGCTAAAAAAATGAAAGAATTGGTTCTCAGGCAATGACTTTTGAAAATATAGTTCGGGAGGGCAGTAGTGTTTTTGGGGATGGTTGTTCTAACTAGTATGTAACCAAATAAACAGTTGTGTACCATCAACCTGTGAAAGGGCCTCCCTACATAAACAAGCATACCAACTCCTATTGCTGCCATGACCATAACACGAGATGTGCAGTAAAGCAGTGCACATGTAAAGGGAAGTAACTGCGTGGTTCGCATTGTTTTTAAGTATTAGGGTTTTTATTTTAAAAATAAAATGGAAATAAAAACGAAACATGCAGCAGACTTTATAATGATGCAGACAGGGCCTGAGAACCAAGACTATTATTTTTTAGCCTTAGTAATGAAACTTTGTGAAATGCTCAATCACAGATGTTTTTGTATAACCACTTTGCCAAAGTTTTATGGTATGGTAGTCTTTAAGGAAATGCTGATATTTTTGCAGTCTCAGGTTTTTCAGCATTTATATGCATGTACCCTACCATACAGTGCCTAGTATGTCCTTGCCACTGAATGGGAAAGTTGGGTCGAAACGCCATCTAATATGATTTAGCTGTGGGCGGCATTTGCTTCAGTAATCTATCACATATTTATCTCCTGTAAAACCTTTTAGCTTATCTTTATAAATGAGACAAGAAACAAAAGGAACCAAATAGGCCATTTGCTTCTCAGGCCATCACTTTTAGAAACTGGTTCACTGTAAATTGAACCCAAGTGAGATGGAATATTGCAATATGATACTTTTATTTATACCGGTAACTCGTATTTCATGTTTATTTCAGGAAATTAACCTCAAATTATCCCTGACGTCTGCCTTTTGGTATATTGAGAGAGAAATCTAGAAAAAGGAAATAAATAGAATTGGTCCTGCTAAGTCAGAAACTAAATGTTGTACTTAGATCTGTGTCACCAAGAAACAATATATTTGTCCTTATCTTTAGAGTCAGTGAAATTCCAAAGCCTTTAATCCTGATATTAATCCTACTTTAATCCTTCGTTTTTGGAGTTTAACATAGGTACAAATTATGAAATATTTTCACAATACCAGACCAGTTTTCAAATAAACAAGCTAAAACCTTTTCTACCCTAGAAGAATCTCTATGCTTATTTGGTCTCCACCGGCCACTGTGAGGAATACAATAGCAGAAAGAGGTGATAATGTTCCAATATTTCCCTGTACTTACATTACTATACTACTACAATGTGTCAAAGTTACCTCCACCTGCATGATGACAAGGGAGATAACTTGGTAATGTGTATTCATTGTGCTGATGTGTTCAATTTCTTGTACATCTTTATGATCCCAAACAAGCCCAGTGTGCACAGAGCTATGTAAGCCTGTGTTCATCAGGCAGAAACCAGTGCATCACACATGTTGGGTACATACACTAGTTTTCCCAATCATGTTGCACATTTACTTTATAACCAATCAATATATACTTTACAAAACAAAATTGCGGGAAAAGTTCTCTACAGTGGCCTCTATGAATACAAAACAAATTAAGAATGGATATCCTTCCATGAAATTGCAAATAAGATATTGCAGTAATCCACATCACTTGTATTAATCAGAATAGCCTTGGGATAATATACCCTAGACCACTGAGGATGGTGCATTCAATAGTTCCACCATAAGGAATATAGTGTGGTATGTCTGTTTCTGTTAGATTTCCATCTGCTCTCGTGCGAAGCTGTTCATTAAGTTTCTTCATCGTCTGTCACACCGTTGTTGTTGTTGTTTGAATGTGAATTCCTGTATTCCTGTTGTTTACTTTCTTCAACAACAATTCTAGTCAGATCTGCACCACATATAGAGTCGGATGTAAGCTTCCACTTTCATCAATAACAAACCACAACAAGGAAATGTTATGGAGAATAAACAAATACAATACGTTCCTACATCACCCGTGAATACATCACTCGTGTACTTGCAGTGAAGTCATGAAATGACGCCGTGTAGGACTCTCAGAAGTCTAATGAACCCAACTCCAAGCATGAATTTTGTGAAAACCCTACCAGTAGATTAGGGCTGGGACAGGTAACTCGGGTACCCGGGTCGGGTGGGTACTGAGTAGGACCCGGGTACCCACAGGACTACCCGGACCCGTGGTTAGTCATGTGATATATTGTTTAATTACAAAAATTATCTAGAACTCTATGGTTACACTACAAGTCACTAATGTTCGCATTTCTTTCTGACTACGCACCCATTCCTTCTGACTTTTCATATGGTTGAATAAAGATATAACTTAAGTCAACTTCAGTGTATGCATGACCAGATTGTTTAATGCATGTATCAAAATTCGTTTTGCAAGTGCTGTAGTAAAAAAATAATTCCCAATCGGACATTTTTTATCTCTTGAGACCTACAGTGGGTACCCGGGTAGGGTCGGGTAATAGAGGGGTTGGTACCCGGGTAGTAAATTTGGACTCGTCCCAATCCTACAGTTGAGGGTCTCAAGGCTCTGACACGTTGCACAAGAAATATTGCCATATGTGTTGCGTAATCTGAGTGTTGATTGGGCAGAGTACTCTCTGGTTTTCTCTTGATTTATTGGTTAAAATAGCGACTACACTGCAAAACGTCTATGTATTCATGGGTGAATAAACTCGTGAAGTATTGATGATAATTCTTCAGGCGTTGACCTATGTCCCTAGTCCAATGTCCCCTACAATGTCTGGGGTCGTTATTGGGTGTGAAACTGAAGACTGTCTCCGACTAATTAGGGCAATCATTAACTGTAGGATGGGATACATGAAAAATAGATGTGATGGCAGACATGTTAAAATACTGTAATCAAACTAGCACTGCCCAATATCCCAAGCCTAGACTCTGATAGCTTATATGTTGTGTCTAAATTCATGCACACTTAACTGTATGTCTAAATGTGACATTTTAACTATATAAGAATAAGTTTTAATGAAAATATTGATCAAAATCTTTAATTAGATATCATCTACCTGTCTTTAATACATGATGGTTCTTATTGCACGGCGGGGGACACTAGAAATTGGCTTCACACATTGTACTCATGCTGGGAATCGAACCCGGGTCTTCAGCCGAGCAAAGGCTTTAACAACTAGGCTACCCGACCAACCCTGTTATTGTATGAAACGAAGGTGTATGTCTAAAAGGGCTCTTGTGCATTAGGTTATGAAGTTTCACTTAAACTATCCTAATATCTGTGAATAAAGTGTTTTGATATGTGAAACTAACCTGCTGTATCTTGGCTACTAAGTAAGGGAAAGCTGTCACGGAACCCTCTATATAGTGTAACCCTGTTAATCTGGACAGAGAGTTTCCCAGTGAAATTGTCCATATTAACAAGGTTATGGGTTGATAAATTATGGTTTCTTT